ACACTGTCTTCCGAGTCCTCCCTTCCTCCCCGACGAACATTAATGGACCTGTTCTTGGGTCAAGTAATCAAGCTTCTGCGTGTCCAAGAGGGCAATGGTCATGTCTTGACCGGAGAATACATTTCATAACAACTGGGCAGCCCTGGCTATGAGGAATCTTGGGGAGAGGAGTTGAGCCACGCTCCAACAAAGCTGAAGATCATGGGAGACCAAGGCAGAGTCTTGGTCTGAGGGCAGAAAAATGCCACCCCATCCACAAACAGGGTAGAAAGCATGTGACAGCAGCTTGTGGGTGCTTTCCATCAATTCGTCCTAGTCATAAGCCAGAGGGGAAAGGGAAGAAGTAGAGAGGCCACCCCCTAGGCTGCTTTTCACCAACTCTAGTTAGACTTGTGTTTGATCACTTTACATTTCCCTCTGGTCTACTCATGCTCTCTTAATTTTCACAAAATTCTTCATTTTTCCTCTTTGTATTTTATTTTGGGAGGCATCTATAAAGTTTTAGTCTGTCTGTCTATCTATCTATCTATCTATCTATCTATCTATCTATCTATCTATCTATGAATCATCTATCTATTGAATCTATAAATCTTTTATTCAGCAAACTCTATCTCAGACCTCACTTAGTGCATTGCTGCAGATGTTACAGTTTCAGGTCTAGAACATAATTTGGGAGCTGGAAAGATGACTCAGTATGGCTAAGAGGACATCTTGCAGAGGATTTGAGTTTGGTTCCCAACACTCATATCACATGGCTCACAGCAGCCTGAAACCCTAGATCCAGGGAGATCTGACACCTTTCACCTCCACGGACACCCAGACTCATATACCCACACACACAAACAGACATCTATAAACACATAATTTTAAAAATAAAAATTTGGGTAAATAATAGATATTTAGAACCCAATTAGGATCTTTCAAAAACACCTTCTGTAACATTACTTAAAACTTAAAACACAAAATAGCTATGTTCATGTATTCTGGAGATTCTAACTCTGGGTCAATCCTGAGACTTCTTGGATTGGCTGGGCCTACCCTTTATGGATCTAGTTTTCCTGTTTCTTTTCAGACCTGGTACAATTGTAGGACTCAGTTTGTTCTTTCCCATCTTAGGGAACATTATCCTTTGTGTCTCAACTCATTAGCCTTCCCCCTCACAATTTTTAGCAGTCTTGGTGCTTATGTCTTGCAGTCACTACTTTATTAAGAGTTGTAAATGGCATTTGGTTATCATTTACATTATCATCTTCACTGGTTGGAATTGTTTCCTAGGGATATCTTTTGCACACCACCCTGTTTAGTCCTCACTGGTTCAGTTCATAAAGACAGTTCTTTTCAGTTGTTAGGGACTACTAGCTGTCCCTAAAGTAATTGCTAAACTCCTTTTGTGAATTATTTACATTATCTTTAATGTAAAGATATCACAGCTGTTAATGTGCTTGGTAAGCCTTGTTATATATGATATTACTTTTTAAAAAGATTTATTTATTATGTATACAGTGTTCTGGCATGTATGCCTACACACCAAAAGAGGGCACCAGATCTCATTACAGATGGCTGTGAGCCACCACGTGGTTGCTGGGAATTGAACTCGGGGCCTCCGGAAGAGCAGCCAGTGCTCTTAATCTCTGAGCCATCTCTCCAGCCCATATGATGTTATGTTTTATTTCAAGCTATTCAGTCTCTGACCAATGGAAGCCTTTCAGACTAGTGCCTATTCTAATCCATGTTGAGCTTGGAATATTAATGTTTGTCCAATGGAAACTCCTCTGGGTGTAAATACTCATATCACACCTTAGTAGAAATTAGTTTATTAATGACTGTCATTTGAGGAGTTAGAAGTGTTTGGGCAGTAGTGGAAACATTCCATTGAGTCCAGGGGTGGACCTAGGAATCAGGAGCCTTCAAAGACAAACTCCACCGTGTCACTTGGGGTCAGAGCCATAAGATGCAATCTCAGTGCTGGCCAGCTTAGACCACGTATGCCCTCTACCTTTACTGAATTGTTCTGTTTCAGGTCGGCTGGCCCGAGGTCCTTTTCCTCTATCCAGTGGAAACAGTGTGCAGGCTGGCGAAGCTCCTCAGCGCTGGTCTGTGGGGCATCTGACTGCAGCAAGTGATGGCAGTAGTTAGCTCAGAGCGGCAGCAGGTGGAGCCCCTGGTGCAGGATTCAGGAGTGAGACCCTCTGCTCTTTAAATGTTATGATTCTGCAGACCTACAAAGTGACCGTAGCCCAGCCTGCCCGTCAGCAGCCTTATTATGGGTTCCCGTGCCTAGGGACGGAGCTCCTGTTCTGAAGACTTGACAGTTCTCAAGAGGTCATCTAGTGTCCAGGGCCCGTAGTTTCACCTCTCTGGCTCTTTGCCGCCTTCTGTCTTTCTTTAGCATCACTCTCCTCTCTCCCACGTTATCACTACCTGCGCCGCTTGCTTTGTTCTGTCGGAGACGCCATCTTGCCTGCTAGGCTGCTGCGCCGTGGCTTCTTGCGTAGTTGCTGCTGCTGCTGCTGCTGCTGCTGCTGCTGCTGCTGCTGCTGCAGCTGCTGCTGTTAGCAGTTGATATTGTGGCTCTGCCTCTTTTGAAGCAGTCAGTGTAGCCCTCTGCTTTACCGATTCTGCAGCTGGGTCTGCTGCCTCTGTACCCCATCAGGGCTGAGTGCCTATCTCCGGTCTATGGCAACACTTCTGCCCTGGCTGGGTTGAGCAGGCTTCTCTGTTCTCACTTCCACCTGCTGTCCCTGTGGTCTCTGCTGCCACCACTCTTGTTTCTGCTGCCACTGTTTCTTTTCTTTTCTTTTTCATGTTACCAGCTCAGCCCAGCTCTTCTGAAACTGAGCAGGCAAAGCGGAGTCAAGAGATGACTCTGACTCTTACTGGGCTTGCTGTGGAAGACCAGAGGAGGCAGAAAAGGAGGGAATCTCCCAGCTGGCCCACCAGGCGGATGAACATCCCAGGAGAGGGAGTTTGCACCAACTTGGCTAACCTGCCATGCAGACGAGGGTCTGTGTCTGTGGCAATCATAGCAGTGACCTTTTTTGCACCAATCACAATGGTCCCCACGCCAGGCTACCACCCAGGGAAATGATCCTCCTCTGGTCTGGGTGTGAAGAAAATAAATGTCTTCAGGAGCCTTTACAATAAGAACTAATCGCGGCCCTTGGCATTTGCTTTAACAGTACTTAGTAGCATACTTTAATTGCATCGTATTTATTTTGTGCACCTCTGTGGGCATGCATGCACCACTGAGCCCATGTGGAGGTCGGAGGACAACTTGCAGGAGTCAGTTCTTTCCCTCTACCATGTGGGTTTTGGGGGTTAAACTCTGGTCATCAGGCTTGTTGGTCAGGGCCTTTACCCATTTCACTGTGCCATCTTACTGGCCCTAAGAGTGCTTATAATAATGCTCACTTCCTGACCATATGCCACAGAGAAAGACTGGTCCCCTTCATCTAGCTCAATCCTTCCTGCATTATAAAACCTCTGGAGTAATTTGTGTTGGGATTTCTCATCAGAATCAAATGTGTCAAGGCTAAGCTTCGACGGTCACACTTGTGAAAGTCACTTATTGTTTTTTTTTCTTTGTGTGTGTGTGTGTGTGTGTGTGTGTGTGTGTGTGTGTAATGCAGGGCCTCAGGCATGTGGTCACTGAGCTCTGTCCTGGCTTATGAAAGCATCACACATCTACACATTTACACTCTCTGAGACAGATGTCTCCAGGAGACTTTCTGGTTGTCACCAATAGCTCTCTACTGAAAGGCAGTGATAAAGAGCTTGGAAGCCACACCCTGAGCACATGACCACTTTGAGAACCAGGGAGTTCTGAGCCTTTTGGTTCCATGTCATGAGTGAATCCCACCCTGATTTACTTTGATGCGTAGGCTTTCCAATGTTATTGGAGATGATTTGTGTCTTATACCATCTCTGTATAAGAGGCCAAAGGATAAAGGAGCATAAATGTGATCTCTTGGCTTTCCTTGTGTTAACGGGAAAATGGTGTCTCTGACCTGGGCTTCCTCTGCTCTTCTGGCTGGTTATATTTTGCAGTGGATTCTAAGAGAAAAGCATTACTGCCGTTTGTGATGAGAACAGCGGGATGCTTGGAGACGGCAGTCTGATGTGGCGTTTCCCCTGAATGCTTCCATCATCCAGGCTGAGTTACAGGCTGGTGACCGCATGGCACAGTAGCCTTTATGCGGAGTCGCTGGGAAGAAAATGAATCTAAAACATGATAGAATGGGGCCAGGACCTCCAAGCCTACAGAGCAGCTGTTCTCAACCTGTGGGTCACGATCCTATTGGCAAACCGCTACCTCTAAAAATATTTACATTATGGTTCGTAACTGTAGCAAAGTGACCGTTATGAAGTAGCCGCGAAATGACTTTATGGTTGGGGGTCACCACAACATGAGGAACTGTATTAAAGGCTCGCAGCATTAGATAGGTTGAGAACCACCTGCTCTAGAGAGTAGTAACCCTAGAAAAAGATGAGGGTAATGACTTGGTCAGCTCCTCTCATCCCTCATAGCCTTCTTCCTGCTACCACGAATAAAGTTTCCTGAGGCGGCAGCCTGGAAGTCAGGGTGGAAAGGCATTTGTGGATCTCTGTTGAATGTTGACTGACACCCTGAGTTTAAAGGACATGAAGACTGTATGGCATGGCTGTCACGACTGCTGTTCTGGTCCATTTGGTGGACTCTTTCTACCATGTGGCATCTAACTCGGGCCATCAGGGCTAGCAGCAGGCACCTTTACCAAATAAGCCATTCTGCCAGTCTTTTTTGTAGATGATTTTTTTTTTTGTTTTTGAGACAGGGTTTCTCTTTTTTTTTTTTTTTTTGGTTT